TGTTTTCACTTTGTCATTTTTGGAAGTTCTTGTCTAAAAAAAACTCTAATTAAATTAACTGTGATTCAATGTTGAAAAGAACTGATAAAAGGAAAATTTGCACCCCATCATCTCACCTGTGTGCTCTGCTACATGTGCTGCCGACGTTGCTAAAAGTATTATGAATAATGGAGCTGAAGCTGTGAGACAAACTATGTGATGACAAACATTTCTCCTGCACTATGTTCTGTAAAGAAAGACAAAATCATATCAGTGCATATCAGAGAATATTCACTGATACCAAAACATCTGTGATAAAAGGCCAGCATCGGCCGACATCAGCTGAGCGATATGTCAGTCAGAGTTTAATGTTCATACAGCAGTACAGGACTGCCACTACAGACTTTTAATATTAATTAATCCATTCACTATTTTACTGATGAGGCTGATCAAATCTAAATGATTCATTTCCCTCAAAAAGAAAAGGAAACCTGATTGGCCGTTTGATTATAAGCTTTCTGAGTGTATTTAGTGGCTACAGGAGCAAAAAAAACAGCACTCCCATTCAAAGACTTGGGTCTTTGAAAACTTTTATACGGCACTGAGCCAGAGTCTGCTCTGTCTTAACACTGACTGGAGCCAAAAATGAATGACGTCAAGAAAAATGTTCGTTTAAAGTACTGATGTTGGCGCTTTATGGCCGTGGATGTCACCGTTTATGCTGACTTGCAGCCAGGACCTCCTCGTCTCCTCGCTGCGTTTGTACTGATGCACTGAAAGTTTTCTTCTGTGTAAATCCAGCGTAATAATGAAGATAATTTTAACTGCAATTATAAACAAGCAACGTACAAAACAAAAGTAAAAGAGCCATTTCAGCATTGCTCTTAATCACCCTGTTGTTTCAGCAGTGCTGGATTTCTCCCTGCACTAGTAAATGTTCCCCTTTTATCATCGCAACTGATCTCCAAAAACAATGCCCTGAATTATCTTAGGCTGCGCTCCAAATCGCATACTTTGTCTATTTTACTTTAAGTACGTACTACAGCTGCCCTCACAAAGGGCGCTTTTATTTCTGGCATACTAAATCTTTTTCTGGCGTACCATATTGTATGGATATTGGAATGCACCCAGAGTAGGAGTTCTTATAGGAAGTGCTGCCTCGTTCTTTGTTTAATCAGTCATTCTAGCTGTTGCTGCGTACAAAAATAAACTCTCCACGCCGTGTTTATCAGGCAGGAGATGCTCTGTAATAGCTGTACTTTTCACTAACTGACTGCTGGCTGCGTAATCATCGCATGTTCACGGCCAAAATAAGCCTATCTGTACAACCGTTTATTATCTCTACTAGTTGAGTAGATCGATGTTCACGAACCACAGGCGAGATGTTCTGAACAAAGACACACACCGCTGTACGTTATGACAAATTACATCACGATATCAAGCCTCATCAAAACAGACAGTTCTGTTATTCTGCTACTTGTCCACCCACCACCGCTGCTCACACATTTCTGCTTATAACCAATACAGTCTGTCAATATTACAATTACATTCTACACAACAACCCCTATTGTCATCTTCTCAATCTAAGAGGTTGTTCTCTTATTTCAGATTGTTTCATACGGGTACGGCCAGCAGAAATCAGCAAATGAATCAAAAAGGCAGAATTAAAATAACTGTGCATGTACTTTTAAAAACAGCCATGCAACAAAGTCTATTTAAAGGTAAAAGAAATTGAAACGAGTTACAAAAAGAAGCGAAGAAAGGGAGTGGGAGGACCTGCCGGATTGTCATTAGTCGGAGGTGGATGTGGTTTCTCTCACATTTCTTCCCTTTCTGTCTAAATCTCATTAACCGTCTCCGTGCGTCTCCTTTGTGGGCAGCGGGTTTAAGGACTCCGGGGTGAAAAGTTCTGCCTGACTCGCCGTTAAGGAGCTCCGTAATTAGCGCGACATTTGCTCCTTTCTGGACCTCGTCTTGGCGCGATGCGTTTAATGTCGGCGATGGAGTCATTGGCGAGAGTCATTGTTTGATGTTTCAAGGTAACTGTTGTTCTGCTGACATGAATATGGAGGTAAATCAAGGACAAAGAGACTCCAAAGACTTTTTTTCCCCCTCCCGCCCCTCTATGCTTTTTATGTTGCCTCTATATTTATGCGCTTCTCCATCACCGGATAAACATGGATATACTTCCCACTCGCACATAACCACATGCAGAGACCATTAATAATGAGTGTTGACTGGTAGCTTGGTGTACTGATAGATACTGTGTGTAGAGGCGACATGGGAGGGGCTCGGAGAGATAAAAGGATGTTTATCTGGGGCTCTTGCATAGAACATTATGTCAGGATGAGGCACAGAGTCACAGGGACGGGGAGAAAAAAAAAAAAAAACTGGCCGAACCCTTTTGCTTTGTTGGTATTAAGGACACTAAATGGATTTCAAGTGGTAAACCTGGGTGTTTAATTACACACGGATGACAAACGTATAGTTTCACTGACTGTTTGGCTGTTGCTAGGTGACTTAAAATAACCCTTTTCAAGTTTCAAGAGGCAAACGCAATTGGCAAAATCTACTGAAAACAAATCGGAAACCTACACCTGCAGCGCTGTAGCCTGGCTGGTAGTCAGCTGCTAATTGGTAACGAGCGTGATCCGCTGTTAGACGGTTTTAAAGCTCCTCTCCTCCCAAAAGAATTTATTTGTTTACGCCTGACTACACAATGTCTATATTGCTTTTTTTTTTAAAAATTGACAATATTTTGATGTTGCCTAACCTGGTTTCCAACATATTAGAAGCTAGAATACCTAAAACCTAAAGTTTTCCCAATAGCACCTCGAGTAATTCTTTCCTTACAATGAGAGCAGGAGCTTGTACACAAGGAGGTTCAATTTTCAGATTCTAAACTGGCATTAAAACAGGCTAGATGTTGGCGGACAGGTTTCTGTTGGAGCCATGACGTATATTTAGTGAGTATCCAGTTGTGCTCCTATGAATAAGGTTCCTGATGGTTTGTATTTTGGTATTCCTAGTGTTTATGGTGGCGATTTCAAAGCGTTATTCAGTGGAGAGGGTGGTGATGCACACAGGCCCAGTCAATATTTACATTTCTTCACTTATGTGCGAGGCAGGTTGGTCGCCATATTTTTTTTTGGGTTAACCATCACGCCAAGCCATTTTCTGACATCTTGTAATTAGGCTAATTCTTTTTTGTTAATAAAGATTATTTAAACTAGACTTCTGGATATCAGCGAGCCTTTTTGTCAGCACATCATACAGGACAAACCAGAGGGTCGTACGACGAAGCAAGTTTGACAAAGCCAGTTTGACAAAGCCAGGCTTTGTTTGTGTAAGTCTCACTAAAGCCTCAGTCAGAGATTAAGGGCATCTCAAAGGTGTTCATAAACTTTCTTTGTCAACTCAGGCTTTCTGCCTCCAACTCTGTGTACGTTCACATAAAACGCATCATGGGACTCTTCTTCTGCACAAAATGAAACGATCTTGTGCAGCTGCTTCAGTCAACAGTTTGTTTTAATGGAGAACAATGAGGAAAATGTATGACGGTAAAAAGCGCCGCTACTGCAAATGGTGCAAGACAGGAATGCTGGTAGAAACAGTTAAACTGTGTAATATAGAATATTTTTCTGATGCAGCCGATTATTTCTAACTGACAGCCGCATGTTAACGTTAAATTTAATATATTTAAACCTGATCTTGTATGAAGTGCATTTAGGTCTGACGCTGGCCCATAATGCAGGAAATCACTTTAATTTTGGGCTAAATTGAAGCGAAATGAATGTTGTTGATTGAATATTCTCTGTAATAAATGCCAGTACAATAATCTATTTTCTCATCTGTGTTCTATCAGCTGCAGCAGCAGCAGAGTAAACGGTCCTGACAGCAAATCAGAGCCAAACATAAAAACATATTTATGTGATTTCTGCACCGCCAACCAAATACACGTGTGGTTCCCATGACAACGCGTGTGTGATACTGTAATTTAACGGCTTCATTCAGTGATATTAGTAACACACAACTCAGCATGTTTGTAGATAAAACACATTCCCTCAGCTGAGAATAAATACCAGTCAGGAGCACTTGGTGAAAGGGCGACGCTCGAAACTCTGAACATAACCTGCTCCTGACCAGGTGAGCTCCACAGCATCAGTTGCCATGGAGATCTAGCCAGGTGAGAAGAGATCCACCTTCATGACACTGAAAACTCTGGCTTTAAGCTCAACACACCTCGATAACCCACTAATCTCTGACCTCGGCATCTTAGCGATTTCTCGTTTGTCCCCTGAAGTCGCCACACGTCTCACCTTCTGGGGTCCGCCCTGTATTTGGACTGCCGGGACACACATTCGAGGCAGTTTTGTTAAATATGTCGTGCCGTCTCTTGGCGAAAAGAACAATCCTGAAAGCGCAAACCATCCGGCTTTGCAGTAAGACTTTAATTAGAGGACTATCTTGATCTGTTAGAGCAGGAGTTTCCTAAAGATTCTGATAAAGGCCCGAGCAGCCGCCGGGACACAATCAGGAGCTTCATTAACAAACACATTGAAATGCTTCTCAGTCTTTATTCCATTAATTGTTCTGCATTTCAGCGAGCTAAAAGAAAATCCTCGCGACGCTCCGACGTCTTCCTCTGATGAGAGGAGCCTACCTACTCAGTGCTAAAGCAGGGTTTCCCTTTGGCTGTTGTTACATGAATGACTCTCTTGCGTTTCATAAATCTACTTCATAAAAGATGAAAAGAGGTATTGTTGCAGCGTGGTACATTACACCCACACCGCTCCCTGTGACCACTATTTTCCACTCAGACTGACAAGGAAATGTGTATATTTAACCAATTATCTCTTTTTATAACCGTAGCTCGGCACTAAAAGTCTGCTCTTTTTTGTCTTACCTGGCTTTATTTCCCGCCCACCCTCCCCCCCTTCCCTCCTTCTCTTCTTTACATATCGGTCCTTCCTCGGTCTTCCTCTGTTATTCCTCCTCCGCTTTGATTTCGCTACCCACAGGAACTTCCGGAAGCATCTTCGGATGGTGGGCAGCAGAAGGATTAAAGCACAGAGTGAGTCAGATGTGTGTGTGTGTGTGTGGTTGATATGTTTGCTCAAATTGACTGTGATGTTCTTCACCCCGCCATCATCAGTGCGTTCTTTTTGTTTTGTTTTGGTTTTTTTTTCCTCTTCCTGTCTTTTTGGTGTGTTTTTGCATGTGTGTGCTGCCAAGCGCTGCCGCTTCGTGGGGATTTTTTCCAGTCGCTCTATTGTCTTTCCTTGAGGATTAAATATATATATTCATCAGTGTGCGTTTGATGAACCAGTGATAGGAGTCTGTGCATGTGTGTACGATGTACAGTAGGTGGCCTTTTCCTGTTGTATCGCTTTGATTGTTTGTTTCTCTTCGTTTGTTTGGTTGTAAAGTTTGAAGAAAAGGACGTTAAATACGTTTTAAAAAAGCAAGACGGATGACTGGCAGTGACGGAAGCGTGTATATGTGTGTCTGTGTGTCTCTGAGCTAAAGGACATGGGTGTAAATCTAAAACTTATAGGACCTTGATCAGCAGCCAAGCAGTTTTTTTCTGCAGTAAAAACCATCGAGGTTTCATTTGCTTCAGTCTAAGGTCAGAAATTTATGTCAAAGGTGCCTGAAATGAAATCACATAGGGCTGCACGTTTGAATTTAAACACAGTCATGATTTTGATCAGCTGTGACAGTGAAAATGCTCATCTTTGGTAAATCTCACATCACTATTTCACACTTTGAGTTACTGAGCGCGGAGACTAGAGGCTTCTCTGTGCACAGACGTCTACTGTGGTGCATTTAGTTTCCATCTTTAGATTGTAGTGTCTAGTGATAAGCAGATGCTCAGCAGCTGAGGTGTTTTGGGTACATTTTTAGCAACATTTCATGGAGATGCACTGAATTCAGGAAGAACCTTGTTTTAAGTTCTAATAAGATGCACCTTAGCAGGAATGTAGCACAACAAGGAAGTGAAAGCAGTGCTGTTCGTGTAAAATGTAAAGTGTTTGGTTGTGCACCCTTTTTACAGGTTTGCAAAAGTTGTGCAAAACACTTCGAGATGTCAGCTGCCACATTGTCATCTAAGAAAACGGAGCCTGTTTGGCCCAAGATGAGAGTCAGACCCAAGGGAAGCAGGTTTTGTTTAAAAACTGACAAGCCAATTAAAACTCAGATGTGACACCAACTCCCCCAAAATATTGCACATTGGCAGACTTTTGTGCATTCGCACTGTGGAGATTTCTCAAATTCCCAAATCTGGCTGCTGCTGACAGTCATATCAAAGTTGTTCCACACCTCAGACATCCCCGCTGTGAGGAAAAAATTATTCCACTGGAGCTAATTTCTAATTTCTTCTCACATCTTCTGCATAGCTTTGGGTGAAATAATGTTCCCCTCATGGTCACAGAATCTAGTGGCATGGCATATAAATGACAGAAAATTTAATGACATAAAATTAAAGCGGGCCCAAGACAGCCTGAGGGAATAAAGACAAAATTTGACGAGGAAAAAAAAAAAAAAACACAAATCAAAGCTCCCAAAGATCACAGTATTAGTGATGCTGAGATCATAAAACAGAACAACAGGCTGACATCAGTTATTCCCCAAAGGAAACCTTCTGACATCTATTTAGCAGGAAAAAAAGTGTCGTTTTGATCCTGAGGAAACATTAAAAAGTTGACCTTATGAATGCTTCAGCTGTAAATGAAAAGAAAGCACTTGAAAAGAGCAGCGAAATGAATTTTTAAAAAAAGGGTTAGTGAGGATCCGTCAGCCTAAAAACCACAGACAGATTTGATTAACCGTGTCAAACACTTTCAAGTAGTCTAAAAATACTCGCAGTGATTACAGTTCAAAGCAGAGCTGATTTCATCGCTCAGTAAATGCGAGAAACAAGACGTCTCTCCGGATCGGATGACTGTGCGAACAGCGCCGAGCGGCAGAGCGATTGTTTGTCTGCTGTATGGGTGTGTTTGTTTGTTCGTACATGTAGGCAGCTTGTGCAGAGGAGCGAGGGCATTGTATGTACACTCTATTTGTGCACTTGTGGCTGCATCCGCCTTTGCACTCCCCGTGTGTTTCAGGTGGTGAGTGTGCAGAAGTAACGGCCAGTTTGCAGGCTTTGCCAGTGTGTGTGTGTATGCGTGTGACTATCTCTCCCCGCCTGCACTAGCGTTCGCTGAGCGTAGATCGAAGAGTTTCAGCCGTTCCTGGAGCGATCCCACCCCTGTCAAGACTGACGCTCCTCATGAACCCAAAGACAGTGAGTTCACACAGACTCACACATGTGCATCAACACGCACAAAGACACACGCAGATGCTGACACGCGGTTTCTCGCAGAAAAAAGGTGCAAAAACAGGCTTTAACTTTGAGGAATCACATGTAAATATTGTGTGTGAGTGTGTGTGTTGCAAAATTTGTCAATTCTGGGATGACGGCAAAACAAATGTAGAAATTTGCTGGATTTGTGAGCACGGAACAAGCACACAAAGACAATCTTGTGGGAGTAATGAAAGCAATAAGCCTGCGAGAAGAATTTTATCAGTGCTCGTGTGCAAGCAGTGCATGTTGCTCGATAACCAGCATGCACGCCTAAACCGAAAGAAAAAAACTGTCCTGGATGAGATGCAAACGTGACAGATGTTCATCATAAATTCTCAAGTGTTTACAATCAGACAGAGCAGCAGCAGTGAAAGCTGCGAGAACATATTAGGATCAATGTGCGCAGTCATAAATTAGCCGTGCGTGCCATTGTGCCGCCGCGTTTTGACTGGCAGGCTGATTACAGCTTGAGTTGGCTTTGTGCTCAGTCAGTACTTTTGTCATTAATTAATTTCCATGCACAGGTGGCTCGTAAGAAGTTGGAAGCCACTTAGCAGCATTTGTCAGCGACGACAAAAAAAAAAGGGGGGGTCTGGTAATCAACGCTTTGATATATGAGCCTGAGCCGACGTACAGCGCTGCTGCAACGAGGCTAAATCATCGATAGCCCTGAAGGTGTTGGTGCGTCATTCAGAACCAGGCGTCACTGCAGCAGCACCTAATGGCCATATTTCCCCTCCTTCCAATCAGAAAGACCGTGTGTACGAGAACCAACAAAAAAACAATCCAGCTCCGACTAATAACCCACGCTAGCATCGTAAAACACATCACATGGCTGCAGCAAGTTGCGTACAGCTAGCATTTTGACTGTGTGATCCGTCGCTGTGCTTGTGTCTGTAACACATCCGTTCATGTGTCCGTGTGATCCACATTTCTACACACGAGCTGCTCAACATACAGATACACAAACATGTGTGGAAGCAGACAACGGCACAGACGTAGCAGAGGACAGTCGCAAAACAACAGCAGGAAACCTAAATTGAAAAGAGGACGCGAAAATTAGGTAAACAACATAAATAAAATAGATAGTTTTTAAATAATTAAAAATTTGGGGGCACAGGCTGAACACTCCGACTGCACTTTTGCTTTTAAAGTTCATGTCACTCCAGGTCTGTTTTATAACTGCGGATAGCAGCGACGGTTTCAAAGGGAGGGACTCACATGCATAAACCATGACTGACCGCCAAAATCTGGGATTACAACACAAACAAAGGGAGTGCGACTCTTTGGAAACCATTCCTCCTCTAGATCTTAGCACAGCAGACAGCTGGTGGTACAATAACGCTAGATTTCTGATCAAATTCTCAATTATTGCACCTTTACCCGAAGGCCAGTCCATTAAAAGAGATTATAGAAATCTTCAGTCAACTTTCAACTGAATAATTAAATGTATTTTTGCTGCCATCTTGATTATTTTAAAACGTCGACTTCATTATAGATCCAAGAGTAAAATGGCAGTCAGTGTTTTCCGTGGCGACTTTCCTACTTTACTTTAGAGTTGAAGCCACTTTTCTCGGAGATTTTTCAACTTGCCTGCAACCTGTAGAGACACACGACAAGCGGGACTTGTGACATAACAGTATTCTGTACAGTCTGTGCCGTAGATTCTCTCTTTTGCAATAAGGAGACATCTTGTCAGCGCAGTCGTACAGCTCAGTTCCTCGTTTTGGCACATCAAGGCCCAAAAATAAGAAAAAAAACAGACAGCAAAGCAAAATCTGCGGCCGCTTGCACATAAATTACACGATCACACGTACAAACTGACCGTCTCTGCTGTTGACTCTGACCCTGTCCATCTGTCTCCTTATGACCGTGGGTCTTTCTTCAGCTTTGTGATGCTCTCTCTCTTTCTGTGAGTATGTCTTCCAAAATGGAGTCTCAGTCCAAGTGTGTCGGCTGATGATGCAAGGCTGTGTGTGTGTGTGTGTGTCGACAAAGCTACAAACACGTGAATCAACGCGATGTTTGCATGCCGTTCGTCCACGTTGATGTCTGACTTTGTGGTTTTGTGTTTTTTTTTTCCTCCACCTCCATCAGTGTTTCTGTGTTTCCCAGAGTGAGGAAAGATGAATGAAATGTTGATGACAGTCTAATGGTGTGGTTGACGCCTCGTTCCTCCCGGTTCCTGGGGGAGAGGTGTTGCTCTGTGGCATTAACCTCTGGAGGATCTCCGCTGACATGAAGTATCAGTCTTGCTTGTCATTTCTTCTGTGTTCACACTCATCTTCTTCTGCAGCTCCCCGTTTCAAACGGCCTCCCACCCCCGAGTTATTTTATTTTTATGGTTTCCAGAACCCCAACTCCCAAAGTAATGGCTCGAATGAAGCAAATCTTTTAAG